CCTTCCAATCCCCAACGTTCTGTGATTCTGGGCCCCAGAGGCTCAAGTGAAGCTTAAACTTATTTTTGTGCCTGCATAAGTGACGAGTAAAGTTCCCATAACCAAGTTACTTATTTGTAAGCTGGTAGGGGGGCTGTACTTAAAACTGGCTTTACACCGTTGGGTGAGCTTTAGAAGTTGTTTGCTGCTGCTGTGGTGGGAATTACACCAGACCATGCTTTAAGACTTAAATGAGAAAGTTCAAGACCAGTCAGTTTTATGATCCGTTGTCTTACTGCTGTTGAAAGTGGCTATCTCACGCTTTCTGATCTCTGGGCTTCTGTATCACATGGCACACTGGTCCATGATTCTTCAGAATAAGAAGTCTATTTAAACTGCATGCTTTTGGTAAATAACCTGCACCGACTTTATCCGTTTGCTGTTATGAATCAGTGGAGCAGGTAATAATCGAAACGTGTAATGAAGGGGTAGTTGCTATAAATGTCCCTTCCCTTCTTTAAGAGTAGTTGCTATAAATGTCCCTTCCCTTATTTAAGAGTGTTGCTCCATTCAAAGCAGCCAAATCATGCACCTAACACATAGCTGTGGATTTTTTCACTCGTTTCCTTGCCGCCTCCGTTGTAGTAGTAAAACGCTCTGTGGACGTTCTGTTACAGGATCCTAGAAATGGTGTTCGGAGGTGACCGCAGGAGGTCACACACTCCAGCCTCATGCTTGAAGTATGACTACTGCCAGCACTAGATCAGCTCAGTTCTACTTTTGTTTAAGCAAGCCTTGAAAACATCCAGATGTGGAGCATCTGTCACCTTCCTGGGTGACCTGTTACAGTGCTGCACTATGCTCTTAAGGATTTTTTTTTCTTCAAATACAGGCTAAGACTTTTGAGCTGCAGTTTGTAGTTTTTCACAACATCCTTGAAAAACATTGCTATGTTTGAATTATTCCTGTTTTAAGATAGGATTGTGGCAGAAAGATTTTTAGGGATTTTTTTTTTAAGTGAAGTAAACCAAGTTTTACTGTCTGTTGACTAAACTGTCTGTTGTAACTGTGAGACACTTATGGGGTCATCTTTCTCAGATGTCTCTGTATTTTTTTCCCCTCATATAGGGTGTACAAAACATTTGTCTCCTTATCCTGAGAATTTATCACTGTGTAATTGTGAAGTGAGGTGCTTAGGTAGTGTAAATCTGTAAATGTAAGCCAGTGGCTAGCTGAACATTTTAGGATAACCTCAACAGGTGTATTATTGCAAAAATCTCTTCCTGAAATGAGCCATCTCTTTATATTTCTCTACCTCGTGCCAAGCAGTTTACATACTAAGTGAGACATAGGCATCTGGAGAAATCTAAATCACTCTTCACATCTAATTCTCTCCGTGTAATCTGCAACTGAATGTAGTCTGGTCCTTGGTGAGAAGAAACAATATATGATCAGGTAATTGCTATACCATAATATTAACGTAAGTGGGCAAAACTAAGCGCCCCTGGACAACCTTAATTTTTTAACATGTTTTCACTGAGTTCTTACAATTGTCAGTGTTGATTATGATGTCAGTAATAATATTGAGTTTTCCTCTGCCTTGAGGATTTCAATCCACAGACCGGATCTCTAAATGGTATAATTTGTCTGTTATGGCCACCAGGATGATCCGAGGGCTAGAGCACCTCTCCTCTGAGGACAGGCTGAGAGAGTTGGGGCTGTTCAGCCTGGAGAAGAGAAGGCTCCAGGGAGATCTTATAGTAGTGGCCTTCCAGTACCTGAAGGGGCTACAGGAATGCTGGGAGGGACTTTTTACAAGGGCAGGTAGTGATAGAACAAGGGGAAATGGCTTTAAGCGGGAAGAGGGCAGGTTTAGATTAGACATTAGGAAGAAATTCTTTGGTGTAAGGGTGGTCAGACACTGGAACAGGTTGCCCAGAGAAGTTGTGGTTGCCCCCTCCCTGGAAGTGTTCAAGGCCAGGTTGGATGAGGCTTTGAGCAACCTGGTCTAGTGGAAGGTGTCCCTGCTGATGGCAGGGGGGGTGGAAATGGATGATCTTTAAGGTCCCTTCCAATCTATATCATTCTGTGATAATCTCTGTGGACCTCCTGTCCTCTGTTGGTGAGATGAGATGGGGTGTTGTTAGTGGGGCACGTAGCTAGCAGCACAAGACTCATGACTTTCCTCCAAGCTGTCTGATAATCTGCTTGGGCAAACGCAGTTTGGCTGCTTTTCCCGTTCCTGATTGAAATATCATTAGAAATGGAATGTGATCTCCGCAGACCTAAGTAGCAGCTTTGCCTGAACATTATGGATCATTACACAGTTTAGAAAAATGCTGATGGTTCCAAACAGGACTTGCTGTTGGGAAGCTGTTTATCAAAGGTGCTGATCTGCAGTAAGGCATATACTTCTCATGGAAAATTGGAGCATTCAGGTAGATATCCTCCTCCAATGACAAATAGCTAATCTAAGGCCCTGGTTTTGTGACCAGCCGAGGCAGTCTAATTGCTTGCTGCTGGAAGTGAGAGATTTCATTCCTGCCTTCCTCTGGGCAATGTGTTCCTGTCCTCTGCTGCATTAATTGTGAAATCATTTTTTGAGCTTATTAACATGGCAGGAAACTATCCCAGCTTTTCACCAGACTAGTTGGCGAGTTGAAGTGGTTTACAGAACTATGACAAGCGTGCACTGCCCAGAGGTAAGCAGCAGGTCTGCATGGCTAAGGGCAGAGGAAAGAGGAGCAGTAAGGTGTGTCTTCACTTAGTGAGTCAACCTAAGAGCTCAGAGCTGCCTGCCTCTCATGGAACTGCATTCTGGCTTGCACATGGACAACACTGCACATGGTGTAGCAATAAAACACAGTGCCCGACTGAAGTATCTGAGCTACAGATACATGTGAACAACTCCATTCCCCCCTCCCTCCAGAATTTGTGGTTTGGCTAAACTTGAGTGAATTTTCATAGGGAGGAAAAGCTCTCCTGTTGATTAATGGTGAGAAAATAGATGGCTTGCTGTTGAAAGGGGGAGGTCTTGTTCCTGAAAGCACTTTCCTTTCTTTTACTGTCTCTGGCTGTTGTCTCATTGCATATTAAGACAGTTCACCTTGCAGCCTTTTGCTGTTTTACCCCGTTGAATTGTTTTACTGTGCAAGAAGATAACTACCAAAACCAGTGTAAGGTAAACAGTTTAAACGTATTGGGACTGCGGGACCAGTACCAGGGAAGGGATTTTGAGACTAAGAGGGAAGAGTGAGAGACCTCTTGCTTTCTGTAGCAGCAGGCTACTTCATCTGTAATTAATGTGTATAGAACAAACTAGTCTGAAACCACAGCAGACTGAATTTCAGGCTCTTGAGACTCAAGAGTTGCATTTTGTAAGAAGGTAAATGTGGATATCCTTGCCTCCTCTTTGGAAGGAGCTTCTGTTCAAACTTAAAATAGTGTTATCAACCTGAATACATTGTTTAAATTCTCATAGTTCAGTTCTCAGTTGCTACATAGATAAAATTGTGGAGCAGCTTAATTACAGGGTGAAGTACTGATCTCATCCATGCTTTTATTCATGTTCTTTTAAGACTTTCTATTACACAAAAGTTGTGATGATGACTAATATGGCTCTAACTTGGTACATTAAACTAGAACACTGGCCACTGTGGTAATTGTATTATTCCTGTGCATGGTTTCTTGCTATCTTGTAGTTTGAATGATTACATTAGCCTTAAAGTGGTTTAACCACGTGGTCACTGTTTTTGTGATGGTTAGATAGTGTTTTACTTATGCTCTCAGCAGATACAGTTCAATACACAAGATTCTACATTTCAAGCTGTCTAATTACAGAAATCTTACATTGTCAGATTTCCTTTACCTTATTCACACAAATCTATTTTTATGTGTATCTGTCAGAATTGAAGAAGTGCTTTAATATAACTGCCGATTATCTCTTTCAGTCTGGAATCGAGCTGTTTGTGAACAGGCTTGACTCTGTAGAGTCTGTCCTTCCCTATGAATACACTGCGTAAGTATATTATACAGCTTATGTCATTTTAATTGTTAGTTCTTCCAAAAAGATGAATTTAATTTATTTTAAAGTATTATCTACGTCTTGCTACAGCAGTTTGCCAGTGAGGAATGTCTATTTATTTTGCTAACATAAGTTCACAAATACAGAATTTTCAATGAGCAGATGGGTGCATATTTTGCTTCCTTCTTCTCAGTTGTCTTTGCTCATACTTTAGAAGTGGTGCATGTAGGCTCTCATGTAGGTCGAATCACTGCTTTAGAGTAACTTAAGGTTAAAATATGTGTGTGTGTATATGTATAAAATTTACTCTTCTGCATTAGTTGTCATTTTACAGATCAAAGTATTACTGCTGTCGTTAGTAGCCTATAGCCAGATGAGTTAAAGTGGTAATGAGGTGTGAACTTCCCATCAATTACCTTAATGAGGTGTTAAATGTTTTCTTGGTGCACATCATAGGAGTGCACAAAATGTATCAGTGCCTGGTACAACTATGTGAAGTTGTTGCTTTAAAGAATATTTTGACTGTTAATATTGAAGAGGTTAAGCACTGGTTATGTCTACACTTTAATGAAAACAAATGTGATATACTTGAAATTAGTCTGGAAGAACTTGGAGGATGTGCTATTAAATGTGTTGGTGAATAAAATTGCAATAGCCTGTTAATTTAATAGCGCTTGTTATAAAGGAGCTGTCTGTGTGTGTGTGTGTATGTATATATATTTGCTTTTATTGTTCCCCTCTGCCCAAGAACCTGGCCTGCATGCTTTTCTATCAGAGCTGTCATCAAACTCTATGTGAAGGTTTAATATTAAATGATGGCTAAAATCCCCGTTCAAACAGGAAACTTCTAATTACTTAAGGAAACGTTTATGCTATCATTTAATATAAACTGAGTTCTGAAATAGCTGATGAGGAGATTTGATTGTTTTTGGTTTTTTTCAAAATGGGACTGTGATTGTCACGCTTTGCTTTGGAGGTTCAGGGAAGAAACTGTGGTCTAGAAGGAAAGCTGTATAGTTCCTTTACTTGTGATGAACCTATTGATTTGTGAGCACTGTTTTAAAGACTGATGTTTGCAGCTGATAATATTTTATTAACTTTTGTATCTTTTCTCTAATTCAGGTTTGATTTTTGTCAAGCAGAAGGAAAGAAGCGTCCCTCTGAAAACCTTGGCCAAGTGTTGTTTGGAGAGAGGATAGAACCATCTCCTTACAGGGTTTGTTCTCTGACAAGGGGTGTTCTGTAATACCTACCTTCAAATGTAATCTAAGGAGATCAGAATCTTGAAGATCCTCTTCACAAGGGCTTTATCTCAAAGAGCTTCAAAATCTAAAATTCAACATAATAGAAACCTGTCAATTTAACATAGTTGTAACTATACACTTTGCATCATGAAGCTGTAGCCCAAAATGCTGTGGAGGTTGTCTTCTCTCTTTGAAACCTACCAAAAACCTGATTCTGGCTCCTGAGCTGTCCCCTTCTTAGAGGGAATTGAATACTCTTATTTCTTGGAACCAGATCTGAAAATACCGCAGCTGTAAAATGAAAGAATTAGAATTGGAAGTTAGCCAGCTTTTCTTTTCTGGTGACAGAAGCTCTCGCCTTTTCTCCTACGTGTAGTAGGAGGAAAAATTATCCACTGAGTCTGCCTGGGACAGCATTGCTGTTGGGAGGTCACATGACTTGTCTGGTAAATCATTGCAGAAAATAGATTTGAATTGGTAACGAGGAGTTCTTATTGTAGAGCTTCTGCAGTGAGCACAGGAGGGGTTTATAGCACATGGCAATATAAAAACCTCCTCTGGAGGGTTAACGTACACAGTCTTGGTAATTTGATAGGTGGTTTTATTATAACAGTATAGAGAATGCATGGGAAACTTGTTAAATACTGAAATTTCACAAAGTTTGTCACAACCTTTTTGCTCATGTGTCTTTAATCTTTCTTAGTTCACCTTCAACAAGAAGGAGACATGTAAATCTGTTTGTACAAAAACATATGATACCACAAAGCCAGAAGATAAACAGAAATTGGACTTTTTGAAAAAAAGTATGCTACTGAATTATCAGCATCATTGGTAAGTTGGTATCAAAATTAATAGATTGGTTAGTCTAGTATCTTAGTGTTAATTTAGTTTATAATTTTGTATTTGCAGGTTTATACAGATTGAACACTAGGTGTTTGCACGGAATCTATTCCACTTCTATTAGTGCAAAAGATGTTATATTGTTTGTTGTCTTAAAAAAAAATTTCCTTCACTTGAAGGATAAGTACCAGGAATAATGGAAACGAGTCTGTTTCCAAACACAAAGCCTTGTGTGGTTTTTGTGCTGCCTCTGTGCTTACTGTAAAATACTGCTACTTCTTTGCCCCTGTAAATGTAAGAGTTAATCCTGCCCTAGCTTGAGAAAAGTCTTAAGGGACCTTCATTCTATTGCTATATCATCTTTGTTTTCCTCAAGTGCCTTTGCACTCGCCTTCAAATGTTGTGTCCAGGAGATAGGATCAATGGTTCTGAAAGAGAGGAGAAGTTTGTTTCTCTTAGAGGGTATGAAAGTGAAAGATGACCAATGAAAATTAATTCATTAAATAATTTTGAGGAACTCATAAACACTTGGTCCTTTCCTGTTCTCTGAGTCCCTCTGTAACCATCTGAGTCATCTTGAAGCATGCTGGGGCTCTGTTTCTGCTTGGACTTGGAGGTCCTCTT